ATTTACCATTTTGTAAAATTAATTGAAAAATTATTTATCATATTGTAAATTAATATTTATTTTGAAGCAAAAAAAGCAAGTGATCAATTTTTTATTAAACTCATTTTGCAAAAAAAAAATGCCACACAAAGCTGCAAAAGTGAAAATTTACCATCACAATTCAAACCTCCATACCCAGAGATGCAATGACACTGATAGCGATCTCCTTTAGGAATACATGTTCCATTGTTATTGCATGGCAACAACCGACATGGATTCATATCTAAAAATGAGTTTGAACACACAGCTAAAAAATTTTATTGACTACATAAACAACAAAGTAAAAATAAATGAACATCATTTCTTTATATTCAAATTATTTTACTTTAAATGATAATTAATTATCATTAATTACTCTTCTCACTTAGACAAACTATGAACACATAAAATATTATACATACATAAAACTATGAACACATAAAATACTAAATACACATCATTTCTTTATATTCAAATTATTTTACTTTAAATGATAATGAATTATTATTAATTAGACTTTTCACTAAGACAAACTATGAACACATAAAATATTATACATACATAATATATATATATATATATATATATATATATATATATATATATATATATATATATATATATATATATATATATATATACATACATATATATATATATATATATATATATATATATATATATATATATATATATATATATATTTATATATAAATTATTAATTAACAGCATAAATTATAAAATTTAATAATATTTTATTAATATCTATAACAATTTGATATAATAGCATTTATAAATATTAATGACTGAAATATTTATAATTTAATTTATTAACTTAAATTATTAGTTATTATGTTTATATAATATATTAATTTAATATTATTTGTTAATCATTAATAATTAATATTCATAAAAAAAATACAGTCAACTCATATATAAAAATCAGTATATACTCAGAATGTTTTTCAAAAAACAAATAGAATTGCTTACACAATATGTTTTTGAATTCATTTCTCCAACCCAATTAGTATTTTTATTAAGTTATTGGAAGCAACAAATACACACAACATATTTGTATTTTTATTTAAAGTTAATAATTAAATACAAGTTTTAAAAATTAGTCTCAAAATATTATTTCCTATAGCATGATAAACTCGTAAATCTTTCAAAATACATCTCACTACTTGGCACTATGATCATTATTTTTCAGGATGTTCACCTTTAAACAGAGTAAAATAAAGTCGTTTTCATTCTTGCAAAACTCAAATAGTGCATATTAAAGAGAATTTATGAAAGTTTAAGAAAATAAGAGTTTGAATGAATAGCATTTATATTTTACTCAGCCAAAGGGATCCTGCAACATCAAAATATAAGTTACAAAAATAAGTAATAAAAAACAGAATCCCTTTGACAAGCATGTCTCATAAATCTCACAAAAAAGATCACAAAAAATCATTTATGAATTTGTGAGACATACTTAAGTGAACATTATAACATACGCTGACAATGGGCTCCAAGGTATCCTCCAATACACTGACAAACATATAGGTCATGTAACGATCGTTTTATAATAGTGGAGGTTGTTGCATTTTTAATAGTGAAAAGTATTTTCGGAACTTTCTTCAGTTGCAATGCTAACTTTGGATTGCGAGAAATATCATAACGTTTGAATAAATTATGTAATAAGCGAGGTGAATGCTGATTACGACGAATCCTTTCAGATTGGTTAAGTGTTCCATATAGATACTTTTTATTAGAAGAAAGTCCTTAAACAAGAAAGAAGTGTTTAACACAAAATTAAGAAAAAAGTGTTAAACTTAAAATTAAAAAATGGCAAATTAATAAAATACAATAAAATACAAAAATTAAAAAATAAAGTTTCACATTTTAGTTTTATGCAAAATACAAAACTGATAAAAATATGAAGTGCATTGTAAATTTGTCTCTTTACCAATTGTTCGCTTTTCAATATCCATATTCATTTTACTGTCGTCAGACTTGAAATCTCCTTTAGCATTAAAATCGTAATCAGAATCCTCCATCTGCTTTTCAGATGTAAATAATGAAATTTGTTGGCTATTGCGAGGTAGATTATGATGTAGTTCTGTGTCATCTTCGTCATCTGAATCCTTTATTTTATAAATATAGAAAAACATTAATATTAAAAAAAAAAAAAGAAATAAGAAAAAAAAGTTCTGAAGGGGAAAAAAACTTGCTTTCTTGTCATCGTCTTTAAAATGAAAGTGTGAAACAGCACGTCTTGCATTGAGATCTGCTTGACCTTGTTCATTTCTTTCATTAAAAATGCTTGAGTTAAAAACAGGCTCTACTACTGAAACTACATTCACAGTTCTATCATTTACATCATTAAAACGTGGTAAATGGCTTTGACAAGTGCCGCCATTTGCACAAGGATTTGGTACACAAGGATCTGTATCTATAGTAAACGTAATAAATCTTTAATAATAAGTAAAAAAATTATATCTTAAAAAAAAAAATTATAAATTATTTATTAATAAAAAAAAAAAATGTACATACCAGCACAATGATGACCATGATATGGAAAAATGCATTCACAAAGAAAGCCAAGTGGATTATTAGCTGGAATACAACGACCACCATTTAGACAAGGGTTATGATCACATACGTTTTCTAAGTTAATTTTAAATTTTACAAATGATAATATGAGCTTTCATAAATATTTTTTTTTTATTATATAAATTAAATTTATTTTTGTCAACTTATAACACAGAAGTGAATTTTTATCTAATGAAAAAAAGAAAGATTTAAGACTTATGGTTTTTGCAAAAACATTAAAACATTTTTTTTTAGGAAAATATTTGATGATGACACTAAAAAACTAAAAACAATTTATAACTTTACATAAACTATTTTATACCTTCACATTAATTATTTTATACCTTCACATAAATGCCCAAAAAATCCTTCTAAACATCGACAAAGAAAAGATTCATTTTCTTCTATACAACGCCCTCCATTCATACATGGATTTGATGAACAAAAATTTTGTTCTAAAAAATAATTAGTTATTAAATCACAATTAGTTAATAACCAGGCAATAACTCTTTGATAAGAACCCCATGATAAGAACCCCATGATAACAATCTCATAATATCAACCCTATGATAAAAATATGAGAATAACCCTATTATAGCAAACCCTGATAACAAATCCATGATGACAACCCCATGATAACAAATTCATGATAATAAGTCCATGATAACAAACCCATGATAACAAAAGCAAAAATAAACAAAAAATTTTAATAAGCAACATTATTAGCTGTTAGATGATAGGTAATTTAATATATTTTACATGTGAGTATGTGTGTGTGTTTGTGTTTATCTAAACACACACATACACACACACATTTATTGATAGCAAAAGTTCCACAAAATGTTTAAAAAAAACACAATGAAATTATTTACAATAATCTATATGCTTTATTGTCAATTATCAGAAAACAATTTTTTTTTATTGGTAGAAATTATTGAATACAGTTTTACTTTGCTGACCTTTTATTTTATATTGGATAACAAAAGGACACCAAAATAGAGCATAATAAAAAGATAACTGATATTTGAAAACATTAGTATTTGAGTAGGTTAATTTAAATAAAATTTTATGATAACTAATATGTGTTTTTAATACTAAATAATTATATAAATGAATATCCTGAAAACAAAAATGATTAGCCTGAAAATGAAACAAACAAAAAAAAAATAGTAGCATTAAAATGTGTAAAAAAAACATTAAAAAAGTTTATTAAGGTGAGAGTGATTAGAAACAAAAACATTGTAATAATTTATTGATTTAAAAAGAAAATACCTTCGCAAAACTTTCCACTATAACCATGAGGACATTCACATATGTAGCTCTCCTCACTCTCAAAGCATTTACCACCATTGTGGCATGGGTTTGGATAGCAATGGCTTGTTACTAGAAGTTAATAAAGTAATTGTATAATTTAAAATAAAAAAGAAACACTTTAATTATTTCCATGATAACCAAGTAACAATTAACAATTATTCCAATATTATAAGCATACTAAGGTTGACCTATGTAACTAAATACTAACGATAATAGTTACTAGAATACTTTCAATTATTTATTACCCTCAGTTATTTAGCCATATTTCAAAACATATAATTGGCTGATTGGATGCTTACATAGCCATGAATTTTCAAAATATCCAGAACTATATACATTTTTTATGCTAGTTAAAACAAAAATGACCATAAAAAAAAAATGGCGAAAAATAGTAAAAATACCTCTTACTTATTAGATGGCATAACTTATACTGTATGTATTGAATATAATAAAAATAGATGCTATAACTAATTTAGAATGTATATTTAAACTGACATTATAAGTAATTTTAAGACAAAATGTAAATGCACTTCAAAATGCAATATATAGTTTTAAATCAAATTATAGAGTTTTATACAAAATAAATAACATTTGTGGAAAGCATAACAAATTTTTTAAACCCACTGCTGAAAATCATTAAATGCATTTAAAAACATGTTCTAGAGGTATAGAACATAGTCTTTTTTCTAGAGGTGGAGGCGAATAAGATTTAAAATAGAAATAAGATTTTAGAAAAGTTTAAACAAAACATAATTTCAACAATGAAGCTATTTTTGATAATGAAGACATGCGACACTCACGGTATTGAAAAAGTTCAAAGATTTATTTAAGATATAAATATCAAACATAGTCATAATTGACACCAGCACTATGTCACTAAATAGTTCAATTAGTTTGTTATTGGAGATGAAAAATGAACTTACTACAAGAAACCTAAATACAAAAAAGCATAGATAAAGTTAGGTATGTCTGATCCATAAAAAAAAAAGTAATCCAATGAGATAAGTTTATGCAGTGCATTATGTAGAAAGGTATATAGAATATATACTATAGAGTATATACTACAGATTAAACCTTTTGAAACTGGCAATGTCTATCAACAACAATTAAATTAGTCATTCCTCTATTTCAAATTTCAAACAAGCTTAAAACAAGTTTTCAAACAAGCTTCAAACAAGTTTTAAACAAGCTTGAAACATATCATTTTAATAAAAATAAGAATGTATTTTAATAAAAATAAGAATGTAGTTTAATTTCAACATGACAATCAATAATCCTGAGCCTCACATAGAAAGTTTTATTAAAAAATATTTTCAAGTAAAGTATCAGAAAGTTTCAGCCATCGTATTCATCAGACATAGATCCAACAGATTTGCACTTGTTTTAGTTGATGCAGTTAGCCATTCAAGACATACGATTCCCTTTTAAAAAAGTGTTTTCATAAAAGATTTTTATAAAAACATTAAAAAATGGCGTATAAATTAATTAAAAAATTCCGTGTTCTAAGAGGCAAGGAATTTTTTAAAATAGTAATTGCTTTTAATAGATCAATACTATATTGTATAAAGTACTATATTGTTACTAAAGAAAACAGATCTTTTTACTAAAAAAAAGATATTTTCAATTAGTAGAAAATTTTTGAAAGATTTTAATTAAAAAAAGCTTAGATCACAGACAAACAATAAACTTTCTTTAATTCATTGACTTAATTCATTCATGTGATTATTTTAAAACAATAAAAATTGTGAAAAGACATCTTAAATAAAGCTATCAGTTTATACAAACTAATTAAATTTCATACTGGCTTGCATATTAGATCTTAATTTTTAATAAATAATTAATTTGTTAAAAATAATTAGAATTTAAATATTTTATTTTGCTTTTAAAAAATAATATTATTTTACTCTAAATCAGTAACAATATATAAAATAAAAATAAAAAATAAACATACAATGACATTTTGAGCCATGAAAACCACTTCCGCAACGACACACAAATGTTGACCCAACTGCTTCACAAACTCCAGAATTCATACAAGGATTCATGTGACATGGTGTTTCATCTAAATTTATAAATTTTAAACCATTAAATAGTAAAAATATATTTAAAGAAAATTTATAAAGATAGGTAATGAAGCAAATTCATTAAGGTAGATAAATGAAACAGATTCTTGAAATAGATTAAATAGATTCATAATGGCAGCTTGATAAAATTCATAAAGATATACTAAAGTGACAAGTTTAAACCATTTTTTTATAAATGATCAATCAATCAATCGATAGAGAACCTGAATATTTGTGAACTTGTTTCATGGATTCAGACCTTATACTACTTATGTAAATTTTGGATTTAAAGCACTTTATTTTCAGAGTTAAAATTGTTTGTTGTTTAAAGATATTGTTTTATAAAATATTTTAACTGAATACTCACGTTCACATCTATCACCATGAAAGTTTTCAGGGCAAAGACATTTAAATTGATCAGTTGAGTGAACACAGGTACCACCATTTAAACACCTGTTTTCTTGACATAGATCAGAAACTAGAAAAAAAAAACTTTTTAAATTGTTTATTAAACATACAACCACTTATAATAGAAAAACTGGTTTAACTAAAGAAGGGGGTGCTAACAATCTATTCTATTAAAGGGTCGGATCTCTTTGTATTATGCTGACTCTTCAGTTTTTAAATTCACTCTAAAATTTACAGAATCACACATCTAGAAAATCTTTTGAAAAAAGTTTTGTGATAAGAATTTGTGAAAGTGTAAAAGAATTTAAGCAAAACAAAACTTATACAGAAAAATAAATCTATAAATTTTATGCATTAATTTTGTGAGTGAATTTAAAATTCTTGCATAACAAATGAATTACTTGCATATGAACTTTTTCAACTAGCAAATACAATAATTTTCAACTTTTTTGTTGCTAATGCAAAATTGTAATAAAAAAGCTAAAAGAAAGAAAGGGAGAAAAACTTTTGTTATAAAAATAGTAATAATAATAATGTTAATATTAATAGTAATTTATTGATCTAATTTCAAAATATTTTTTATTTATTGTTATTATTTAGTAATTTTACTTTTTTATTATTATTATTGCTAATGTAAATTTAACAATTATAAACATATCATTTTGAACTTAGCAGATTTTTTATATAGCCATCTCAATAGAAAGTGTATGCCCCCCCCCCCCCCCATTTGAACTAAAGAAGCTTCTTAAATAAAACCATACTGTCACATGATTCACCCATCCATCCAACACTACAATTGCATGTTATAACACTGCTTATTTCTAGACATTTTCCATTTGAACCACATGGATTTGGTACACATGGATCTTTTTCAAGACAATCTTTTCCACGATAGCCACTGTGGCATTGACAACTATACAATGAACCTTTTTCCAAACAAATAGATTTGTGGAGACACGGATTCTTTGCACAAGGATTCAATTCTATAATTATTATATTTAAAAATCAAAATTATTTAGCTAAAAATTGTTTATTTATAACTTCTTTTTTCTTTTTATGTTAGTATTTTTATTATTTATACAGTATTATATTTATACAGTATTTTGTTATTTAGATCAGGGTTGTCCAACATGTGACCAATTGGCCATTAAGTAGCACTCTATATGATTGTGTAGTATTTTTTTTAAATATATATATATATATATATATATATATATATATATATATATATATATATATATATATATATATATATATATATATATATATATATATATATATATATATATATATATATATACAGTATGCAAAAAAGTAACCGCATACTTAAAAAAAAATCATAGTTTTAAACATTGCATCAAAAAAATGAGATTTATATTAAAATATTAAAAAAAAATTTTCAGATATAAAGTATTGTTTGAAAAATTATTAGTGTATTAGAGAATTAAGTGCTTTTCAAACCTATTGAATTTTACACAATTGATCTAATGATGCAATATATTAACTGCATAAAAAAAATAATTGTACTGTTTTAAAATAATGTCAAATTGATCAAATTCCACAGATATCAGTATCGAGTAGGGGCTCCTTTGGCCTTGATGATCTCAGTTAGACAATTTGGCAATGAGTTGACTAAATTTTGGGTCTCTTCTGTTGTTATATTATTCCATGCGCTCATTATAGCTTTTTTAAGCCATCTTTGCATCTAAATGCTTGGTCGCCAATTTTTGTCCACAATATACCTTTTTTCAAGTCCAGACTTTGAGATTCCAAAACTTTGATGTTATTTGTGTCAAAGTATACCTTAGTATACTTAGTATACCAGTATACCAAAGTATACCTTAGTATTTTCTAAGCAGTATGTTTTGGATCATTATCTTGCTGGAGTATGAAATTGTTTCCCATTCTCAATTTTTAAGCAGATGGTTGCAAGTTAGCTTTGAGAATTTCACAATCCATTAAAGCATCCATTTTTGTGTCAATTTCCCCACTCCTTTTCAACTCACACTACCCTAAACCATAACATTTCCTCCTCCTTTAAACTACCTCCCAAACAACTCATCAGCTTCTCCTTTTTTTTTCATCCGATGAGACGAGGTTGTACTTTGACTCATCTGACCACAAATTTTTTTTCCAATATGATATCAACATTTTTTTTGTACTTCTTTGGTAATTCCAATAAATGTGTCATTTATTTAGAAGTTAAAATAGGTTTTTTTCAAACTACTCTACCTCTATATCCTTGCTCTCTAATAGGATTTCTGATTTTTTGAGGAGTCACTGTGATGTTGTGATCTTTTTGAATTATAAAAGCTAATTAAGCTGCCAAAAAAAAATCTATTTTTCTTTACATTGATGATGATATTTTGATCAATTGCACTGGTGGTCTTGCGTTTACATCCTCTACCAGCCACACTAGCAACAGTTCCAATCAGATTATGCTTCTTAACAATTGAGGTCACTGTCAAAAAAAGGAATTTTCATAAAAGGAATTTCTGTTTCTTTTTGGATCTGACAGTAGAATTTTCCATGATTTTTCAAATCAAATACGAGGTTTCACTGATGGAAAGACAAAAATAATTTTCTTGACTTTTTTTTGCTGAAACACTATACTTTATTTTTTATTTTTAGTTTAGAAAATCTTTATTATTTTATTTTTAGTTTAGAAAATCACAATCTTCAATTTTACATACTAGTTTGATTGATCAATTCGCTAAAATAACCATCTATTTTATTAGCATACAATTATTTTTTTTGCAGTCAATTTTATGCACCAATTGTGTAAAATTCAATAGGCTAATAAGATCTGAAAATAAAAATTTAATGTTTCAACAGACAACTTATTTTTTTGATGCAATCTTTAAAATTATATTTTTTTTTTAGTGTACAATAATTTTTTTTGCATACTGTGTATGTTGAATTAAGGTAGCAAGGTTAAAATCAAGTTATTTATAAACCGCTTTAAAACGTAGAAATTTGATTTTGAAAGTAAAATTACTTTAAAAAACAATTAAGTTTTATTAAAAATTATTAACTTACATTAAATGATTTGACACAAGATTCCGCAAATTTAAATTAGAAAAGAATTGAACTTGAAAAAGAATTGAACTTATAGGGATTCCCAAGTGCGAAAACAACTTGTGTTCATATTTAAGAAAATGTTTAAAAAAACATTTGGGTAAATTTTTTTGAATAAAACTAAATAGTAAATGCATACCAATAAAATTAAAGTTGTTGTTTTAGTCAAAGCCAACTCCATTTTTTTTTGGTTCTCCAAGTCTCTCTTATGTTAGCTGCAATCTGCAGACTTGATAATTTATTTCATGTGTGTTTAATTTATAACAGTTTCGGTATATAACATCATTGCAGTTTTTTTCTTCAAGATATTGTATTATTTTTTCTGCCACAATTACCTAATTATGTTAATTTGTATAACTTTATATTAAATCCCAAAAAAATTTTGTGATACAATAAAAAATAAAGTAATGTATATGGTTTTAATATTTGAGTAATGCAACTTGTTTTTAACAATTGTAAGTATAAATCTTTATCAAGATTTTGATATAAAAATATGTAAGAATATTTTATATAGAATTTATTTTTAAGATTTTTTTTACTTCTTTTATGTACTTGGAGTTTTCAAAATGACAAAATTGCAACGATTTGGATAAAAATAGAAAAGTGGTGTAGCATAACACGTTTTGTCAATTTTCAAAATTGAGTTTTTATTGTTGAAACTTTCATTGCAAAACTTGCTCATTTTCATTGCAAAACTCAATTCCAGTAGTTTTTAAAATAGAATGTTAAGAGACAGGTTTTAATATGAAATGCTTTTATAAATGACACGAATCGACAAATGCCAAATACACAATGTTTTATAAAAGCACGCTACAATGATTTTCAATTTAAATCACTGTCATGAATCTTGAATAATTGCAAAATATAAAAATTGTTGCGTTTAAGTTAACTAATAGTAAGCTGTCTGGGTTTTATGCAAGATAGAAATTGTATAAAAAATGGCACAAAAAATATGTACTTCACATTTTACTGAATTTTATTGAATTGTAAATTTTTATTCAAACTTTAAAATGACAATTTGTGCTGTTATTGGGTGCTGTTGAAATGCAAACACATCAGGTTTTTATATATCCTTTCATTGATTACCCTCAAATCCCAATAACTGCAGCTTTATGGAAAAAGGCTATTGGTATATCTAACTGAAAGAAGAGTGTAAGAATATGTTCATTAAATTTTGATGGTTCATGTTTCCACATGTTAAAAGAACAAATGACAAAATAAATCATTCCAAAATCAGTGCTAGGGTGGATCCATAGTTCGAAAACAGAAGTAAATTAGGGAGGCTGTTTAAAATTGATAAAAATTTCTTTAAAATTGTTTGTTTTGAGGATAATAACCCACATAATCTTTGTTGTTTAATGTGTTGTTATTCTTTTTTATTTTTTGATCCTTAGACTATTGTTTTGTGTTTATTATATTATAACAAATTATATTATATTAAAAATTATTATATTATATTCAAAAAAAATTTAATTTTTTTTTCAATAGATAAAAATTAAATATTTCCATGCTTTTAGAAGAATATATTTAAGTTAATAGTGCTTATTGCTTTTTTTTTTAATAATAGATACTTTACTTATCACTTTACTAATTTTTCATTTGTTTACTTATAAAGTTAACAAAATTGCTAATTTTTAAATTAAACTTTATATTTACAGAATTTATTAAGGAGCTTGGCAATAAGACAATTAATAAGAAGATTGGTCTTCGCGCGTCTGCTACGTATATTTTGTTAGTAATTTACGGATTGTATATATTTACACAGCAAAAAAAAAAATTGTCAAACTAAATATATTATTCTATAAAAAGGAAATACAACATTCTATTATACTGGTACAAAAATCATCCGCTTGAGAAATAATGCCTATTTTAAAAAATCTAAACAACTATATTAAAGATACAATAATCTATTTTTAACAGCTGTCAGGATGACAGTTGTTAAAGTTGAGATAATAAAATCTAAAAATGAAATATATTACTTTATTTTTAATTGTGTCACAAATTTTTTGACAATTTAGTAAAAAATTATTAAGTACAAATATTTAATTTTCTGATTGTAGGAGAAAAAATACTTATATCTTAAAAAAAAAAACAATCTTGGAATAAAAATTTACAATGATGTCATATACCAAAACTGTTATGAATTAAACATGCTCGAATTAAATTATCAAGTCTGCAGATTGCAGTTAATATTATACAGTCTTGGAGAACCAAAAAAATGGAGATAATGAGCTTCGACTAAAACGACAACTTTAATTTTATTGGTATGCATTTATTATTTTATTTTATTCAAAAAAATTTAGCCTAAACGTTTTTTTTAAACATTTTCTTTAATATAAACACAACTTTACTTGGGGTTCCCTTTAAAAATAAGACTTAGAAAAGAATTGGACTTAAAAAAGAGTTGAATTTGCATTTCTATTCTGCTTTAAAGATATGACTATTAGTATTTCAATTTTGTTATTGACTTTTTTTTTATTTCAAATGAATTAAAAAAAATTGATAACAAAACCATAAAGAAGCAAATAAAACAACTAAGAAATCTTGAAACAAAGAATTAAAATAAAACATTAAAGAACATAGTTGGACATGTTCTTGCAGCCAACCTCCAACCATTATCACCTCACCGTAATGCTGCTTCTCTTTCTCTTTTCTACAAATACGATAATGGTCACTTCTCTAAAAAGCTAGCGTCACTTGATCTATCTACTAATACTCATTATCATGTTACTCGTGCTCTAAAAACTCTTATTTGTCTACTTTTTCTTCCTCCATCACCATCAAATGATACTAATACTTACTAAAGCTAAACTATATGATACCTATATTTTTTCCTCCATCAAATGGATTTTAGATTTAATGAGATTAAAAAGAACCAGTAGGAATTCAAAGGAAAAAAAATGAAAAATTGATGCTTTGATATCTCAACTTGCTGCTGGAATGTGTTTTGATTTTCATCCTTCTGAAGAAAACATGTAAGGTTTTAAATTTTACTCACTAGTATTTAGACAGTTTGTCTTTAACTTACTATATATACTGTATTAATAACATTAAAGAAACAAAGAAATTAGAATTGTATGAACTTTATAAAAAATTAAAGCATTAAAATTTATCCGCATTTGTGCAGACTTGCTATTAAACATTTTTCATTTTTAAAAGTACTTACAACTGTAAACAGTTTATTCCAAAAATGAAGCATGTTAAATCAAAGCAGAGTAATAGATACCTTATCGATACTTTTAGAACACATTGCTGATAGTTTTGAACACATTACCAACTTTTTTTAAAGAAAAATTTTAAGTTTTTTTAATAAAAATTTTTTTTCTTTAAATTTATATTTGTTGTCTTCATACTGATTTCAAAATAAACAAAAGTCCTCACTGTAAAAAGGCTGGACATCCCTGATTTAAAAACATAAAAAAATTTTGCTTGAAAAATAAATAAAGCAATAATTTAATATCTTACCTTTACACTTTTTGCCTTTGTATCCTGGGTTACACTTACAAGTAAAACTATCAAGAGTTTCAGAACAAGAAGCACCATTAGCACAAGGGTGGGTTTGACAAGAGAGTGGTGCTATTTAAAGATAAGAGTTTAACTTTCACTTTGTACAAAAAATAATCAAAATAAACATTAAATAATAAATAAAAGTAACAAACATTTTGAATCTAAAAAATTACTTTAACTAATTTCATTAACATAAATAAATACACAATTTATAATTAAATGTGTATATATATATATATATATATATATATATATATATATATATATATATATATATATATATATATATACATATATATATACATATATATATATATATATATATATATATATATATATATATATATATATATATATATATATATATATATATATATATATATATATATATATATATATATATATATGGTCACCTTACTATTTGCTGCCCTAAAACTAGGAGAAGAACAGAGACAAAAACATGTAGTTATATACTTTAACTAAAATATATTAAATATTGGCAATAACTAGGAACACTTAAAAAAATCTGAGAAAAAAAAAGTAAATAACACATTTTTTTACAAGTAAATTACAGCACATGCGGTAAATATGGTCACTATAATCAATATGAGTATTGACATATAATCGGTATGACATTTATTATTTTTGTGATTGTGGACAAGTATGTTTTTTTACCTACTGATGTTAATCCTAAACACTCTTCATGGACATAGGCAACACAACAGTTGCAGAACCTCATGTTAACAACTCTGTGGCGTCTGGTGCCAGAAGACTATTCTTGGAAAACATTGACTTGGTCAAATGCTATGCCAGACTGTTAATTGTCCTGAACACGTTAGATAAATATTTTTTCATGAATTTTTACCATATCTATGAAGAATACATTTCCGTTCTCATTTATTTAGCTGATAAATGTTGATGATATAAGCTGCAAATAGTGCATGACATAAAGGAAGACGTAGGCTGAAAAATGCCTTTAAAGTTAAAGGCATATGGTGAAAAGAGTATCCAGATGTTGAAGATCCTGGATTATTGTATACTGGTATAATTATAGATCCTAATTCTATAATTACTCAGAAGGCCAATGATGCTGGGTTATTTCTAATGCAAGGTGAAATAGAAATGTTTTGTTCATTACTTTGCAACAGAGATAAAAGTACATTATTTTTAAAATTGAAACAGCCACAAGTCAAGTCAGAACTTGCATTAATGTGCGCTGCATTATTTTTTTCAATGTTGCTCTCCTGTTTACCTTGGGTGGAATTGAAAGATCTTAGTTGCTTAAAATCCAGATTTTATGTTGGAAGGGCTAAGTGCTTTCTCCAATAATAGAGTAAATATTATACCAAATCCTTGTTTTGTTAGAGCCTTTCTTTGTTCTAGAACTTAAATCTCTGAAGGTCCTGATCCCAATATTGCTCAAAAGCCTATAGGCTGCTACACGTGCATGGTGTTACTTGGAAGGCAGAACAAAGTGATGTGTTTATGAGCAATTTCTACAACATCCTAATCTAAATGACAGGATGCTCCATCGAAGATTAGTAAACATAGATCTGGAGTCTTGAATGCTGCATCCATTTCAAAAATGCTTTTTAAGTTTGTGCTGCCTATTGGAGTCACTGCTGATTATTTAACTGGAAAGAGCTTGAAGGTAATTCATCTTGAACTCTGATTACAATCTCATACCTTTAAGGAGGATTATAAGTGGTATGCTATTTCCACAGAAATCAACCGTAACATTTTCAGCATGTTATGAAGCTAGTATACAATATACTCTTTATACCTTTTTGTAAAGTAGCATTAATTAACAGTCCTTTTCATCAATGTTGCGAATTTGAGCCAGTTTACTTTCAAGTGCCAACTTTTCCATTATTTTTTTCAGTTTTTCAAAACAATCTTAATGTGATTGTTAATGTGATTTTAAAAAATATGGTCATAATCGAAACTAAAATGTGAAAATAATAGAAATAACAAAACTGAATTTAAATAAAACTTTCATTGAGCAATCTGATATTATAAATGAAACTTAGGAACAAGGAAAATAGATCAAAGCATATTAAAAAAAAAAATTTTAAAAGCAGCAATCAAAAATCTAAATCTTTTAGACTTTAACTTTTTAAGTTTAAAATTTTTTCAGACTTTTTATATTACTGCTTATGAGCTAATCTAATTTCTAACTTTCCTGCAGAAATTGAGTTCAACAACTACTTCTTGTGGCAAAAATTGAGATCAACATTTATTTCTCCTGCAGGAAACGAGAGAACTTTTTCTTAAGCTGTTTGGAAATAAAATAAAAAATTCTTTAGATTTCTTTTTAAGACATAAAAATTTCAAGTAATATGTATTTTTGTCATAATTTTTACAACACTTACAAAATAAAAGAATTTTTAAAATAAAGTATTTTAATGATGTATAATTAATGAAATGGACTTTTATTATTTTCTTAACTCTCTTTTTTTATGATAATTTACATTTACATTACATCCTGACAATTTCAACTGCTAAACCTCAAAAGCATAAACCTTTAAACATATGATAGGTAAAAGCCATAGTGGTGTAGTGGTTGAGCACTCGCTTCACAAACTAGAGGTTCTAAGTTCAATCCCCACCATCTCCGTGGTAGTACCGCGCTCAACTTGTTTCTCCATGCAGCAGCCTTGTTTGTCAAGGTTCATGTTTTGGAGTTATAGAGTTGAGAGAGGGTTATAACCACAATTAAGTAGCCTCCTTGTCTGTAGTGGCCATCTCGGTTTGTCAAACATTGAAAACTTGCTAAAAGATTCTTGAAACAATTCTAGTAAAAATTATTGCAAACAATCCAAAAGAAATAAAAAAATAGTGAACAGTGAACACAAAAAAAATAAAGTTTTACAATAACAAAATATACAAACAAATAAAAATTAAAAAAAAAGTTTGAAACCACCAAACAAATATATTTTTACAAAACAGTAAAGAAAATATTAGTTAACAGAATATGTAGATACAAAAGAATGTTTACAAAACAATTAAACATTTACAGACAACAAGTAGATATTTACAGAATAAATTAAATTATACAGAACAAGTAGATGTTTACAAAAAATGCTAGATGGTTACAGAATAAGAAGGTTTTAAAGAAAAAAAAGGTGCTTATAAATAGAGAAAGGATCTCATTTAAAAAATATATATATTTTGCTATTATATATAATTTTTTTCTTTAACAGCCTATAATAACGACATAAGTAGTCAAAGTATTAAGTGCATCTAAAACAATTTCTGCAAATTCAAACAAATCATTAACTTATTTCTATAGCTTACTTTGACAATCAGCACCTTTAAAACCATAAGGGCAAATACACTTGTAATTTTCATCTTCATCTTGCACGCAAATTCCACCATTGTCACAAGGGTTTGGTGAGCATAGATCAGGAACTAATTGTGTATAAATAATTGTTTATATATATGTATATATATAAATATATATATAAATATATATATATATATATATATATATATATATATATATATTTACACAAATATATGTGTATATATAGATATATTTTTATATATATTCAAATATTAGTATATATATATATACATATATCTCAAATTAAGCATATATATATATATATATACATATATATATATATATATATATATATATATATATATATATATATATATATATATATATATATATATATATATATATATATATATATTTACACAAGTATATGCATATTTATACATATATTTGTATTTATATACATATCTCAAATTAGGTGTATGACGATCGCGAATCGCAACTGCCTAATACTATTTAACACATAATAAACTTTTACCTAAAAATAATAGACCTCTTCACAGTTCCGATAATTTTTTTTTTTTTTTTTTTTTTTTTTTTATTTGCATTCACTCCCAACAAGGCTGCAAGCAACCACTATCAAGTTGGGAGTTACTAGGAAAAAAAAGAACAGAGTTATAGAGCAAGGAAACGGTTGACAGTAGACTTGAAAAGTTGAAGGTTGTATGAGTCAGGAAAACATGAAGATGGGAGAGAGTTCCAAAGGATTGAAGTGCGGGGAAAAAAACTAGATGAATAAAAGTTTTTAGAGCATGCAGGGACAGATACAGTAAACGAATGAGACTTAGCTGAATGACGAGTAAAACGAGAATGAATTTTAGTTGATGGAACTAAAGATGATAACTCCTTTGAGCAGTGACCATGATAGTATCTGTAGAAAAGAGAAAGAGATGCAACTTTACGACGATGGGAAAGAGGTTCAAGCTTAGCAGATAGTCCAGGTCCAACAATATTTATAATGCGTTTTTGGACCTTGTCAAGAAGAGAAAGTGAATCGTTAGAAGAACCAGCCCAAATATGACAACAGTATTCCATACAGGGACGAATAAGAGATTTGTAGAGGTAGAGAATGGAATCAGAAGTAAGAAAATGGCGAGCACGATAAACGAAGCAACCTTAGCAAAAGCTAATTTAGCAATCGATTGTATATATGGTTTCCATGAAAGGTCAGTAGTAACCGATAATCCAAGAAGACATAAAGAGGACGACTCAGTAAGAGGATTGCCATTCATTAATATAGGAATGTTGACCATATTACGGTAGTTGTTTGCAGTAAGCAACTGGGTTTTTTTAGAGTTGAAATTCACAAGCCACTGTGAACCCCAATCTATTACTGAAGTGAGATCGGATTCAAGATCAGCTGCTTGTTCTAGAAAAGAGAAGACTTTTTGTCAAGACAGGAGTATAAAGTTGAGTCATCAGCAAAAAGAGCTACTTTAGATGAAAGGTTGTCAGGAAGATCGTTTATGTAGATAAGAAACAAAACAGGGCCCAGGATGGAACCTTGGGGAACCCCAGAAGTTACTGGAAATAAAGAAGAGTGTTGGCCTTCAAGGATAACTTTAATAAACCGGTTAGAAAGAAATGATTTGATAATCTCAAAAACTTTCCCAGAAACACCATATGAAGCAAGCTTATGGAGAAGACCAGCATGCCAAACTTTGTCGAAAGCTTTAGATATGTCGAGAGCAATAGCCCTAGCCTCACCGCCTCCATCTAATGCACGATAAAATCTTTCAGTTACAGCAGTTAGCAAGTCGGCCGTAGAGCGAGAGGATCGAAAACCGTATTGATTGTCTGACAGTAGTTTATTTGACTCAAGATGAGATGTGAGGAATTTGTTGATCAAAGACTCAAAGATCTTACTAATAACAGAAAAAAGACTGATCGGACGATAATTGGAGGGGTCAGAATTTTCTCCAGAGTTTTTGAATATTGGAACCACAGATGCCATTTTCCAACAAGCAGGAAAACAAGACTCAGTCAAACACTTGTTAAATAGTTTAGAGAGAATTGAAGAAAGTTCTGGATAACAATTCTGCAAGACTGTGACAGGAATGTTGTCTGGACCACAAGCTGTAGACGAGTTTAATTGAGATATGACTTTAGCAACAGAAGCCGGAGTGATTTGAATGTCTAACAATGGGTCAACCTGTTTGACTAGAATGGAAGGAAGAGAATGTCCATAAGATTCAAGAGTGGAATTAGAAGAAAAGTTCTTTGCAAATAGTTCTGCCTTATCCTTGGGAGAGGTAATAAGATCAGTCCCATGAATGAGAGATGGAATGTTAGATCTACCCTTGTTAATAATGCGGTTGAAGATTTTCCAAAAGTCTTTAGAGCTTAACTTCTGTGATAAGATGCGATATTTAGTGAACTGAGAATAATGGAGTTTAGCATCAGAAAGCACCTTTTTACATCAATTTCTTGCAATAATAAATAGCCGTTTGTTATCAAGAGAGTTGTTCTTTTGAAAAAGATGAAAAAAATGTTTACAATTGGATATAGCAGCCGCACAAGAAGGAGAAAACCATGGAGTAGAATGAGGCTTGACTTGAAACCGACGCAAAGGAATAAAAGCTTCCATTCCAGCCTGAATCCAGGAGGTTATGTAGGAGGCGCATTTGTCAGCTGAGAGAGAAAAAACATCAGCCCAAGGACCATCACTAAGAAAATCACGAAAGGAATTCCAGTCAGCTTTAGGGTAGTAGTAGGTGGTTCGATGATAAGGTGAGCCCAATAAAGAAGTACGAGAAGAAAGATTTATAGAGATCATTGCATGGTCAGAACCACCTAAGGGAGAAAAGGGAGAAACTGAACATAAGCTAGGGTCAGAGACAAGACAAGTCAAGGAGTGAAGGTAAATGATTAGGGTTGTCAGGAAAACGAGTCACAAAGTTAACTATCTGAGTAAGAGATTGAGAAACGCAGAAGTTAAAGGCTTTAGTGCCAGCAGGATCAGTGGTGTTAGAGCCAAGCCATTCAGTGTGGTGGGCATTAAAATCACCAACAACAACAATATTGGCAGAGGGGTAAAGAGAGAGGGTATGATCAATTTGATTAGAGATAACATCTAAGAGAGTGCAATCATGGGAAGAAGGAGAACGATAAAGAACAAAGAGAAAGGTGATAGAGTGAAGAGGTGCTAGGCGAAAGCACATAAAAGAATGGTCAAAGGATTCGAACCTGATTTCACGACAAATAGGGGAATTAATGCGTATGTATACCCCTAAACCTAGCATGTGACTATTGGAGTCTTTACGAATCAAAGGATAGTACCCATCAACACTGACATATGAAGAAGGAATTGCAGAATTTAAATTTGTTTCACTGAGTGCAAGCAAGTCTGGTGAATTTTGCAGGAGGTAAGACTCAATGGATGGAAAGTTGCTTCGTAGACCGCGAATATTTGTAAAAGATATATTAAAATATTTAGGTGGTGGGGATGGTTTTTTAGGTTTTAAATTTTTGGTTACTTTGGTCATGATTTGGGTTTAATAAGAACTTGACTCATTCATAGATAGAGCACAGCCTCCTAATCAATGAGCTATGCAGATGTTTCTGTCCTGTTAATTAACCCTAAGCCGTGACATAGGGCTCCTTATGTGGCCTTGACAATGCACACCAAAAGCATTAACAGGGACACCATCCATGCGCAACATGGCACTGTTAATACTCTGATATTTTGCAGCTGTTGATGGAATCAGCCTCTCTGAGAGCTACCACAGAGTTCGGGAAACCTTACTACCAGCCGGCCTCAGAACCATTAAACTGAGTTTTAGAGCTGTACCCTCATATGGAGATAACAGGAAGAGTTGCATAGCCATTATCAAGGAGGCATAAGCAAAATTCTATGAGTAGAGTCAAGGAGATCCAGCATTCATCATCCTAGGCAGGAAACAATGTAACACAGGTTACATCTACGCCAGCCTAATAGATGAAGAAGGGGTTCGAGGCTGGTTAGCAGAATTTTTCTGCTTACCCCTAAAGCCTTTGCCTAGGAGGCCTTCTACAAGACAGTAGCTGGATGCAGTTAACATCTGCCCAAGATGAGTATTTTTATCGAGACACCATCTCTAGCCTTTACTCAACCAAGAGCCCCAAGGCAGGGGATGTTTAGCTGGATGCAGTTAACATTTGCCCAAGATGAAAGAAAGTAAATACACAAATATATGATGAAAGCATTGTTGAAAGAAACAGTTTTTTACTTGAGATTTCTTCACTTTTATTCATAATAAAAATATTGATTTTGAATTATTTAACTTTATTCTAATTATTTTAAGGCTAAATTTATATTATTTATATATTTATACTTTTTATATGTTTGTTTTATAGGATATATATGAAAGAAATAAAAGCTCTTAAAGAGTACTCTTTATTTTTTGCATTTCACACGTTTTGAGTGTGAAATGTACATTGATAGTTGTGTTTGTGTGTGTTTGTGTGTATATATATAATATATATATATAAATATAATATATATACATATATATCTGTGTGTATATACATATATATGTGTGTATGTGAGTGTATATACATGAAATATGAATCTAAAAATCTCATGTAAACAACTGTTTCTCTCAAGGTAGCATCTTAATTTATATGAGTATTTACTTGTTTTCATGTGATTTTGTGCATAAAGTACCATGACGTTATATTAAATATGCGCGCATGAAATTATCGGAACTGTGAAGACGTCTATTATAACAAGAAATCTCAAATGCAATATGAAAAACTCGATACCATTTTTTATATCTTAATTTTATTAAAAGCGATATCAAAATTAAACATTTTCTTTAAATACGCAAGTTGTTTTTAGTATTTTTTTAAAAAAAGAAATCTATTTGAACAAAATACTTTTCATCTTCTAGAGTTCTTTTAATTAAATAATTTTGTGATTGAAATTTGAAAAAAAATTGGAAAAATTTAAAAGAATTTCAATGGTCAATAATTAATTAATTAGGTTCTTAATACCCAATGGCGTAGCGATGAGTACTCCTGAGGGTTAAACGTAGATAGCTACAGAACATTAGATTTAGAACATAGTGCAAATGAGAATTTTATCAAAATAAAAGTTTTATCAAAATCGCAAACATTTTGAATAAGGTAATTACTTTTTGTTTCTTGAAAATAGTTTCAAAAGTAGAAACTTTCTATTGCAAACATTAAACCAGTGATTATTACAAACATTAAATCAAAAATTAAATTATTTTTTTCAAAAAAAATAATTAAAGCATATACTTATAGAAATATAACTTGATTTATGAATATATATATATATATATATATATATATATATATATATATATATATATATATATATATATATATATATATATAATATATATATATATATATATATAAATATATATATATATATATATATATATAAATAAATATATATATATATATATATATATATATATATATATATATATATATATATATATATATATATATATATATATATATATATATATATATATATATATATATATATATAAATTTAAAACAATCTTTAATTTTAATATTAAACCATTAAATTTTCTAGCTGTTTTATAATTTATTCAAGCCAAATGTTTTCTCTCACTTTTTAAAAAAAAACAATTTGATTGAAAAAATTGAATAAAAACATCAACTTAAAAACCATTTGAATGAAAAAATTAACTACACTTTAATTTTTAATAGTAGGCTAGATCAAGAAGCAAAAAATTAGAACTATCTAATGTTTTTTTTGCTTTTATATAACTTGTTTGGTCTATAGATTAAGCGTGTTTGTGCATGAATATGAAGTTTAAAGTTTTAGGAGGATAATGTTTCAATTTATTAATTAGAACAATTCTATATAATTACTTTGTTTTATTATAAACAAAGTAATAAAGTAGTTTTTTTTATAATTATAATTATTAAAATTATAATTAAACAACATCATGAAGTGGTTTTAGATTAAAACAATATAAAGAGCTTGAGTCACAAGCTCTTTATATTGTCAAAACAACTTTGCAGCATTATTTTATTGTTGTTTTAAAATAATAATTTATATAAAATAAATAACATATTTTATTGTCAGCATGAGCGTTTTAAATAGTTTCCTATAACTAATTAAAATTTAAAGACTTTTGTTTATTTTTTCATATGCAAAATTCTTGTTCATTCTCTTTTTGACATAAATATTAAAAAAAAAAATTATAAAGGAAACTTACTTGCACAATCTAAACCATGATATCCAGTGGGACAATTGCATGTAAAACCTGTTTTTGTTGAAAGACATGTTCCTCCATTTTTACACCAACCTGTAGGACATAATGCGCTCATTGATGCTTTATTTGCTTGCTCAGATCCTAAATATAAAAATTAACAGAATTTTGTTTTAAAAACTATAAATACAACACATTTCTAACTATATTATTCGCACCAGCATGAATTTATACAGCATAAAATACAGTTGCAAACTAGCATATGATAATATTGCATTACATTTCCAATGATTCTTAGTTCACAAACATTAGAATCATTAGAAGAAAACTAGAAACAATATTACTTTAATTACAATTAGGAAACCTGAACACTTAAAAATAATTTAATTTTTATTGGCCCAATCATTTTAATAATCTCCATACAAACAGTGCTCTGTGGTTCTCAAGTTATCCATTTTAAATTTTAAATCTTAAATTTGTTTTAAATGTGCTTTTGAATCAATTGGATATTTTTTGGATCATTTTTTTTTCCTCTTTCACACTTGGAGCTCATAAACCTTGGATGCCAATTCTCTTAGCAGTAGTATCACAATAAAAAACTCAGTCCTGATCTGAAAAACAGGTTAGTGCTAGGAAGGTTATCTGAATGTATAAAACTGTATTAACTCTTTCATAATGCCATACTTAAATTAAAAGAATGGCATTAAGAAAACCTGTCAAACCACAAAAGTGTGGAACTATGATCTTTAAATTAAAAAAAAACATATATATTTTTTGTGCATGTTTTTTTCTTTATTTTCTCAGGACAGTAGTGAAATTGTATTTATGTAACATAAAATATTGAATAAAAATATATTATGTATAAAAACTTTGAATAACCTGAAGGGCAGCTGCAATCAGGACATCCAAATCCGCTTAGGCAAACACATTCAAATCGATTTTCTTCTTCAATATCTTTACAAACTCCTCCATTTTTACAGGGTTGACTACTGCATCGAGAAAGCTTTTCTAACCAAAAAAGAAAACTATTAAAAAAATGCAGAGGTAAAACAATAAAGATTAATTTAATGCCTAAAGATTTCAGCCATTAACATTTTAAGATTTTTTAACAAAGTTAACATTAGACTGAAGCAACTTAAAAAAAATAGAGTGCTAAATCATAATAAACCAACATAAACATAAACCACCAGGTTTTATGTTGTCTCTAAAATGATACATATATTTGTAAAAATACCTTATATGTGTAAAAAACACCTAATATTAGTAAAATGATACCTGATTTAAAAAAAAAAAAATCATATCTGTCAAGAAGTGTCAGAAAATTGCTTTTTATAGACACCCATAATATATATATATATATATATATATATATATATATATATATATATATATATATATATATATATATATATATATATATATATATATATATATGCAAAATTTTTAATAGGAATAAATTAAAAGTCAGTTATAGCTGTCTTCCAAACATCACTAATATTATTAATTCACACAATAAAAAAGTATTATCTAATGTTTTCAACACAATTGTTCTAACGTGTAACTGCCGGCAACCTTAATGTCCTTTGTAAGGTATGTGTCTTAGTAAAAATATAATTTACGTCTGCAATATAAAAACATCACTACAGGAGAGTGGTTTAAATTATAGTGGTTTAACAGAGCACACCTTTAAAGATTGCTGGTACAAACATAAAAACTCCTTTCAATACGAAAGTAAAGCTAATGCCACAGAACTTTCTAAATATATCTGGGAAATGAAAAAAAGGGATTTTCAAATCCTATTCTTATGTGGAAGATAATTGATACGGCGGAACCTTTTAAACCTGGAAGAAAGTCATGCATTCTTTGTTTAACGGAAAAATATCATATCATTAACTCATCTTTGAAACTCATGAATAAACGAAATGAATTAATATCGAAATGTCGCCATGAAAACATTTGTTATCGACAACTTTAACGTCATCTAAGACAATATTTTATTGCATTTTTTGTATATAATTTTTGTTGTTGTTATGTTTGTTCGTAACATCTGATGATCACATAAAGCGTGAAACTCCAAGTACAAAATAATTGTATCTTATTATTATTCTAATATAATATATCTTTGCTCAACATATATATATATATATATATATATATATATATATATATATATATATATATATATATATATATATATATATATATATATATATATATTATCAAAAAATGGTAAAAGTTTATACCATCGCAATATTTTCCACTAAACCCTTTCTGGCATTGACAGCTAAACCCATTTGCTAATTCAACACAAAGCCCAGAATTTTGACAAAAACCAGCACGACATTCAACAGGAGCTAAAAAAAATTATTAAAAATTAGTTACTTTGTAAAACATTAAAAAACATATACTTTTTTACACACTTTTTTTAAACTTGTTAAAATAAAAATGGATTTAAAATATTTAAACTTATTTAGTTGATATTACTCACAATTGCAATAAAAATTTAAAATTAATCTCAATAAAAACTTAAATAAAAATTTAAATATTGCTCAACTTTAAATATTGAATAGTGAACTTTCACCATTATCTTATCTTATAATATTTTATTAATGAACTAAATGCTGCTACCATAATTCATTTGTGCGTATTTGACAAGAAATTCATGACAGCCAATACACCCGAGTTAATAACAAGAAAGAGTTGTAACACTTTAAAAAAAAAAAATTTTTAAACAAAAGTGTGTGCAAATATTTAACTTAAGTAAATTTTAAATAATGCAATGTTAAAAATTATATCAAGTTTTACAGTTTTACTTTTATTTTAAAACTACATTGCGGCAATATCTGCGGCAAATTCCAAAGAATTAATGTTCAAGGAAAAAAACTAGATAAAAAAGAATTTTTGGAGCACTAAGGAACAATCACAGTAAAAGTATAAGGAATTGAATGACAAATAACTCGAGAATGAATTTTAGTAGATGGCACAAGAAACGCTAGCTCTTTAGAGCAGCGCTCATTATAGTATTTATAGAAAAGAGAAAGAGAACCAACATTACTAAGATGTGACCATGGTTGAAGGTTGGCTGCAAGAACAGGTTCAACTATGTTTACAATGCATTTTTGCACTTTGTCTAAAAGAGAAAGGGCATCATTCAAAGATCCACTACAGATATGATAGAGATGCTTATGTTATTAATGTACTAAGGTTATTTATTCTTTATTTCGTTAAGCCTGCGCATTTAACACAGGCTAAAGAGACTATATAAAAAATAAAGACTATATAACAAAGAAAAAAAGACTATATAAAAAATAATTATAGAAATGGTAGATATGGAATAGACTTACTAAGATCCGTATTATACAGGTCATGATAAGTCTATTATTTTAAACATTTTTAAGTCTATTTCCACATGTTTTTTAAATTTTTTATACCAACTGTAGTTAATCAACACGTTTCAAGCGAGTTCTAAATATTTATTTAGAGGTTAATTTTATTACAAATTTCTGTTTTATAACTTTAAAAGGTAGAAAATATGCATAGTTTTTATATATATAAACACTTTTTTACCGCTTTCTATAAAATATTGAAGTAAGGAATAAGTATAGAAATGGTCGATATGGAAAAGACTTACCAAGACCTTATTTTACAGGTCCAGACAGCTAGTTTATGTTACTCATCATATTTAACATTAAAAATTTTTTTACAATCTGTAAAAAAGTGCATTTTTCCTCAGCTTTCTCACTTAATTTTTTACTATTTTTTTTTTTAAGAAATTTTATGATGCATACTACTTTACTCTCTATTACTTGTTGCATTATTTGTAAATTATCATTAACTAATATTACTTGACTTTTGATTGGTTATTATCATGTTGACAATCTCTTTTAATAGATTATTACTTTTTCATTCAAATAATTAGTATTTTCTGCATTTTTTATTGGTTGTTACTATTACCACTTTTTTTTTTATCTAGTATTACCTTCAATTTCTATGAGCTAATATTATTCAAAAATTTGGCAAATATTTTTTTAACATTCGCTTGCTCTCATCATCATCTCATTAACATCAATTCAATGGCTCTCATTTAAAAAAATCTCTCAAAGTTCATTTTAAATAACTGCTTTACCCCAATCATTAAAACTATCAACAATATATTTAGACATTAAGCATATTATGAATTTGGTACAATAATAACAATTTTGATATAAAAAGTTATATCTTTTAAAAATTTTGGTGTAAATAATTTAATCTTTCTAACAAGGTAAAAACTTATTACGTATAATTACTACTATATTAACATTATTTTGCAGATACATTTCTTTAGTGTTGAAAATAACTTTTAAAAAAACTTACTTTCACAATCATGACCTTTGTAATCACTTGGGCATGTACAAAAATAGCCATCTGTTGTTTTGGTACATGTGCCACCATGTTGACAGGGGTTTGGGTGACATGACAAAACTGATTCTAAAACAAAAAAAAGATATAAAGGAAGACTTTGACACTTTTTTTACCTTTTATATATATATTTTTAACTTTTTATAAATGCTCACCTCTGTTTACAAAAACTTTTTTATAACAGCGTTCAACTTTTATAAAAATTTTCACTTACTCTTTTGCCTAACAAAAGTGAATTTTTGAAAAGAATTAAAAGGGATGATTAAACTCTATTTTTTACGTACTTTCACAATAATATCCTGAAAATCCTTTCTTGCAAACACATTTGAATTGAGTTTTTCTAGCATGTGAATAATGACAATCTCCTCCATTTAGACAGGGATGGTGTGAACATGGATTATAAAAATGGCTGTGATGATTAATATGATGCTGAGGTAGTTTATAATCAATCCACTGATGGTCTAATTCATGATCTAAAAAAATTATGTTTATTTAAGAAATTAAATAATTTTCAGCCATAATTTTATTAAATGTAATTTCTACTCATAACTAATTTAAACAATTTTTTCTATTTTTTCATATAACTCTTCCGTATTTTTTTCTTGTACAATGAGAAAAAAGACTTATTATTACTAAGCGAATTAAGAAAGCAATTTCAATATTATATCACTTATTTTTTTGCAATTTAATTTAGTTTAGTTATATACGGGTTTATCAAAAATACTTACTTTATATAATTTATAACTATATATAATCTATGTAGTTTGTGATGTTATTGAATAAAAATGTGAAGTCTTGGTCAATCTTTTTGTGTTTGTAAACTGTTTGTTTGAGCAATTAAGATTGTAGAAACAAAGTGAAAGAAATGTTTATAAATTTAAAACACCAGCTATTTGGAGAGAATCACAAAATATTCTGAATGATTGTTAACTTTTTTGTATCAACATAAAAAGCATAAATGCTAAATAAAAAGTTTAATGACAGTACCCAAGTATTATTTGTTCAATATCCAGAACAATATTTACCAGTGTAGTCAGTGTCAAAACCCAAATTAAAATAAAAACCCTTAGATCATAAGAAAATGATCCTAATTTTAAAAATGTACTTAAGAAATTTAGATATTTCCTTTAGAATTCATAGCTTTAAAACTGAAAGTAAAAAATTTACTTACTTAAGTACTTAAGTTACTTTTTATTGTGAAAAAGATAATAATAAGTAAAGCAATTTTTCAAAAGGTTAAAGTGCTTTTTTGTTCATATATTTACTGATAAAATATTTTATTAAAATAATGTAAACTAAGTGATTGGTGTCAATTCATAGGTAATTTAAATAGTAAATTAAAATGCATGTTCTTAAATAACAAAAAAGAAGATGTAATGCTGATTGCTTTCAATGCAAAGTTAAAAGAACAATACTGTAGCATCTTGTAAGACTTAAACAAAAAATAAATTACAATGACCACAAATGGCAAATTTTTGTAGATTTAAAAATGATAAACATTCTTCTTGGTAAACAAAGTGGTTATACTAATTTTCCTAATTTCGCTGTCATTACTTATAAAACTGAGAATTGTGAAACAGACTATAAAGGCTTTAGAAGGAAAAAGCCTACATTTGTCAAAAAAGTTGTTTAGGTCACTATGGAAAAGTTTAAAACTTACTCCAAATTAGATAACTTACAAATGACACCAATTTAAAAATTATTTGCATGAACATGAACAAGCTTTAAAACATGAAATTTTGTGATGGGAAACTTTAATAAAATAAAAAGGTCAGTTATTAAAAACTTTTTAATATTATGTATCATACATAAGGTATGAATCAGTTTCTTTTAAACAAAATAGAACTGATTCATACATGTTGATAAAACAAAACATTTTGGTTTAGTTGAAACATTTTTTTGATAATATAGTTTAAACCAAATTTCTCAAATTTTGAGCTAAAATATCTTTTTAACAGTTTTGATATTAGAAGGATGTTAAGAAGGTAAAAATATTCGAAATTTTTTTTTTTCTTTTCTGAATTCTTATGAAGTAAAAATTGTCCTTGTATAATCTTTGTATAATCTAATCTTTAACACGCCAAAAACTCTTCTTTACGGGCATTTGTTTTTTAAAGTTACGCTATGTTAAGTCTTTTAAGGTGGTGGACTCCTAAAAAAATAATGATTTTGGCGTAAAACGTCAAATTTTAGTTTTTAATATCATTTTTTTCTAAATTTTATCCTCTTTTATTTGATATAACTATCTAGGGAACGAAAATTCGGCGTCGATCGCTGCAAAAACCGCTAATAATCGCAAAAACCGACAATCACCGCACTGAAAACCGCTAACTGACAATCACCAACAATCATCGCATACCTCTATCTGCTGTCAATGCCAATGCATTACCGCGCACCGCAATCACCGGCCGTTGCGGTTAGGTGATAACCAACCATTACCGCAGAAGTCCGATTACCACAAATGGTAGATTTTTCGTTCCCTATAACCATCTTGTATAATTTGATAGAATAAGACATTTAAAAATTGCATTTTTCATGGGTTTAAGCCTTAGCAACGCCTTAGCAACGAAACAAAAACTTTTTATTTAACCCTTAAAGTCTAAGTTAAAATGGCATCTTTTAAAACAAAGCAGTATATATAATCAAACTCAATTCCGCTTTAAGTTAAAAACTTGATAATACCAGTTTGATAAGCCTTCCAAGACAATTAACTACTATTGGAATATCTTCATGGCTAAACTCAAAATCTGAAAGAATTCTTGAATGCCATCATATAGTCCAGAGTTTCGAAGAACTTTTTTTTTAGTAAAAAATAGTTGAAATAGGAACATACTCTGTTGTTGTTTGTTTTAATGATTGGAGTATGGGTATTTTGAGTGTTTTAAACTTTGACTTGGTATTTAACATTCATAACATCTATTCAACTTGACAAATCTTGTGTGAAGCAAATGAAGCAAATGTAAATAGAAAAGTGTATAAGACAATGAAAAAAGTTAAGATCAGAAGTCAAAGGGCTCAGTGATAAATAAAAGTCTAATAAAACCAATCTGTCATATGTTTTTGGTAGATATTAAACAAAATTTTACTTGAAAAATACTTTAAATTTTTTTCAAGTAAAATTCATAACATCTATTCAACTTGACAAATCTTGTGTGAAGCAAATGAAGCAAATGTAAATAGAAAAGTGTATAAGACAATGAAAAAAGTTAAGATCAGAAGTCAAAGGGCTCAGTGATAAATAAAAGTCTAATAAAACCAATCTGTCATATGTTTTTGGTAGATATTAAACAAAATTTTACTTGAAAAATACTTTAAATTTTTTTTAACAGCTTTTGATTTTTTTAGTACTAGGGTAACTTTGAAACGTGATATCTTTACATTGCCTAATGATTTTTGATTGAAATTTTCAGGGTACACTCAGTATACTTAAGAAATTCTAATAATAGGTAGAATTTTTAAAAAATCATGTTCAATTTTTTTTAGTAATGAAATTAGTTCCCATGTTAAGTCAAATCACTTAGTGTTTTAAGCATATTTTCAATAATTTGAGATTAAATTTAAAATAAGTCCTTAATTTAAAAATCCATCTTTCAACCGGAGAAAAACATCATAATGCATCAATCTACAAAGTTTGAACGAGAGAAAAATTATATAAGAAAAGATATTACGTCACAAAGTTATTCAATTTTTAGTCAGTTTTTCCGCCATTATGGATGCAAAAAAATTTTTTGACAAAAAGTTTTATTTCAGGTAATTTTTTAAATATCTCACAAGAAAATTATTAGTGTTTGGCTTAATTTTTTGTTAAAAATGTGCTTTTTAGTAGTGTAAAACGTCTTTTAAATGTTCATAGTAGTGTAAAACGTCTTTTAAACGTAGTGTAAACGTCTTTTAAATGTTCTTTACGTAAGAATGTTTAAAAGGCGTTTAAAAGACGTTTAAAAAACATTTAGAACGTAACTTTTAAAAACAAATGCCCGCTGGGTTTTTTTATTTAACAAAAAATTCTTAGTTACTCAGTTTAGCTTGTTCATTGTTACATTTTTAAAATCTCTTTTCTTATAATAATTAAAAAAAAAACTTACTTCAACTTAATAGCTTATTATGTGTAGCACATTTTTTAATTACGTTGTATATATGCCGAGAGCCGTCGCGCCGCCTGGGACAGCAACCCTGATTGGCGCCCTTATTTATCAAAATTTTCTAATGTAATATAGATAAAGGACTTTTTCTTTTTTCTTTTATTAGGTACTTTCTTTTCATTTGGTGCCCCTTAAATATCTGCCGTTGGGGACAAATTATCCTTTTCGCCATCCTCTCGGTGGCCCTGTATACTTATATACATCAAATTTGTAGTACATATAGAACACATAAAAGAAAGCAAAAATACAACACTAAACCTTATTATAAAAAAAAAATATTTTCATATTTCTAAAAAGTGTTACATATTTGTGTTGGACACATAGCATTCAAGACGTAATAAACTTTTATAAACAAATAACAACCACAACAGATAAAATAAATAATTAAAAATAGTATAATAAAAAGTGTACCTTGGTATGGAGCATATTCCGTTGGATTAAGACTACTCATTAATTGGTTCGGTATTTCTTTAACCGAATAACCATTACGTTGAGAATCAGCTTGTTCATCAATAGCTGCACTATTAGGATTAACTGATTGGTCAGGAATATCAACTATTTCTCCTAAAGAATTTACCATGTTTGCTGGGGGTACACGTGGACCAGCCGTGTTAACTTTTCCAGGGTCAGCATCAACATATTCTTGAGGAACATTGTTAAACAGGTTAGCATGTGTAATCTCCATATCATCTGGAGCTCTGTTAAAATTTGCACCGTTTTGTATCCATGACTGGGGAAGGAACTGTCGTTTTGATCCTGAGTGAAAACTATGACTACCTTTTCTATAAACAAAACCATGGTCTTTATGATGGGGCTGGTGTCGATGAGGGGATCCGTTCATGTGCGTTTTACGATAAACATCGAACCTTCTTGAAACGTAATGAGGTGGAACGCCTTCATCAAAGTGATCGTCTTCAACATAATTATCTTCCTTTTTATCATCGGGCTCACTTATAGTATCTGGAATAGTATCAACACCATCATCAGTATCGAGTAAAATACCGTCATGATTATCTTCAGTATCATAAGCTACACTTTGATTCATTGGAATCAAAGTCTTACGCGCATTTTTTTTAGCGTGTAATCTAAAAGAATTGATATCACTAAATGATTTATTTTTGTAAACAGGTATATCTTTTCTTCTTTCGCCAATATGTTCTTGTTCACGCTCGGGTAAGCTGTGATTGAAACCTGATCTCTTCTTTAATTCATTTTTATGCAGTCTGTCTTCTGAATTTGTTGCTGTAATTATGCTTTGAAAATTCTCATCGTTAACTCCTCGAAGATTTCCAATGTGATTTTTTTCATCTGCGATACGAAACTTTGGTTCTTTATCTTTAATGTCTTTTGTATTTACATTTACAAACAAGAGACCGGTAAATAGGAAAAAAAACACGAAGAAATTTAAATAAAAAGAAAAATTCATGTTTAAAATAATAAGTAAATAAAAATTTTTGTTTTGGCCCTGTCTGCAAAAAGAACCGATACAAGAGGCATTAGAGCGTGTCGCTGCAAGTTTTCCACAGTTTCGCACAGTATACCAACTACGTAATTAAAAAATACGATACTCAATGAAACATTAGAGTTTTTCTTCAATATAAAGATTTTAAGTTTAAAATATGAGATTATTTTTATTACCTTACAATATATAATTTTTGTTATATACTGTTAGATAATATAAAATTTATAAGCTTACTTTTGTATTTAAGGTTTTTAATAAGGAAATTAAAAGCTTTATACAATGATAATATAATAATAATATATAATATAATAATAATAATATAATAAGAATTGAAAGACTTTCAACATGAATTTTTTGCGCTTAGCAAAATCTACCTTGTTCCACGAGGTAAAATAATTCCTTTTACAATTTACTACTAAATTAGTCGTTATACTAGTTTCCGTATGTTCACAATTAAAAAAGCTTAAAAACAGAGAGACCAATATTTTTTTATGGTTTCTTCTTTTTGCATTTGAAAAAACTTAGGTCTTTTTCAATTTTGAAAAAGATTCAAAAAATAAAAAAATCTATTCTTAGCTGAAAAAACTCCTTGCAATTTTTTCACCATTGATCTGTTTATTTATGTATGACAAGATGATACGATAGAATTCAAAGTTTATTGTTTTACAGATTGTAATAGAAAAAAATAAATATATAAAGATTGTAATAGAAAATTTAAAAATTTTCTCTTTTACAATTTTTATATATTTTTATTTTTGTTTACTATTAAAAAAATTTATAATATATAAAAAAGAAAAAATGCATATGAAGATTTTACAAAAAAAAATAAATAAAAAAAAATAATTTTAACACTGAAATTTGAAGTCCCCGAGATAAAACTATTTACTCGGAGGTAAAACTGTTTACATCAAAACACAAATTTAAAAAAAGAAATAAAATTTTGGCTACATAATGTTAAACATTATAAAATAAACATTAATTATATATTTAAGTGAATTACTTTACGAATAAATTATTTCGCCTGATAATTACATATTCTACCTACCTATCTAGAGGGTAAAAGGCGAAATAAATTATAAAGAATAAAGTTGTAAAATACATGAAAAATTAGCTGAATTTTTAAATAGAGCGCGATGATTATTTGATAAACGAGTATTTTAAAGATTATTCGTTAAACGGTTATGAATATTCGTTCATTTTTACTGTATTCGTCGAACGATTACTGAACGATTAGTATTGTTAAACCATAGTCAATAGAAGTTATACCTTCTATTGACAATGGTTTAACATATAAATGTTTTACGAATATTCCGAATATTCGTATATCGAATATTATTCGATAAAGGATTGTCCTTAAATTACGTAATTCAAAATTTCACAATAAAAAAAACAAAAAAGATCAAATGTTTTCCCTGGCAGAGTTTAAATAAAAATCAAAATAACCCATCAAATTTAATGAAAATTGCCGCGTACAAAAGCTTAATATCTCCTACTACTGTTTTTTAAATATATATTACACCTAATTCTGTTTTTTAAATATATATTTGCGCTGCGTAATTTATGGACGATGTCTAAACAAATATTTTCGTTCCCTTTTATTCGTTGTACTAATAAAATAATCGTTCAGCTAATAAGCGGTAGCGAATACACTCGTTAAAAAAACAAGTTGTTAAATTTAGTTAGTATATTGGTCAATCGCCTAGATATCGTCCCCTCAGTATTATCTTGTTCTATCTACAAATGTAATAAATAAAATGTTCTATCTAATATGTAAAATAAATACAAAAAATAAACTATATACAAATAAAAACAATGTTCTATGTAATATAATATATTATATCAGGTAGAATTAGGGATTCCATATCCAGATTTTGGAATTTCGAAATTCTGAAATTCATTTGTTTTTATTTATTTCGAAATTCCGGAATGGGAAGTAACCAAGTTCCGGATAATTCAGATTTTCATATTGTTAACTTTTTTCGAATTCGAATTTTGTTTTTGTTTTTGTTGATCTTAAAAGCGTAAACCAACGCAAAAGGCGAAAAACTATAACACATTTTGCTTTTATCGAAACAACAGCGAAAAGTTTTTGTTGTGAAATTGTGAACAAGCAGGTTGCGTGAGTTTACACTAGTTTTTATAATATTTATTCTATAATATTTATTGTATAAGCCTAGTTCAAAGCATATTAGGTTATTTTTCTCGGTTTTAACGTTGCATAGATTTATTGTGTATACTTAATTTTAATCTCTAGGATGTCGGATCAGCAAGAAGAAATTTTTGTAGATGTATCCGAAGAGAACTCATCAAATTTGGTGTGGAATTATTTTTTACAAGGGACAAAAAATCAAGTGGCTAAGTGCATACAGTATAAGCAGATTTTAAAATTATCGGGTGGATGTACGACACTAATGCATACCCATTTGCAAGCAAAGCACAACAAGGTATTAAACAAACGAAAATTTGATAATGATTCAAGTGTTGCTGGTGCGAGTGCTGTTAATTTAAATAAAAAAAGCAAAACTTTAAAAAAATTTATGATTCAAAAGTAGACCAAAGTTTTGCTGCAGTAATATCTAGAAAGTTGCCTCAGCAAGGCCGTCCCGAAGAGATTTTAAAGGAAGGGAGTGCCGTGTCTGTTTTTTGCCGACAAAAGCCAAAAAAAATATTTTTACCCACTAACTTACCTAAATATAAAAAAAATTATTACAATCTTTACAATCATTACTAACGGCTCGGGACTGTCCTGCGCCTTAGGCCTTATCGTTTTACATTTTAAGAAAATTTTTAATAATGCGCGGATTTGAATGTTCCTAAGTCAGCCACTAGTATACAGAAGGTTGTAATGAACTTCAGCAAAAAAATTCGCCAGTCGATAACTGCAGAATTTGTTTCCCAAAAAAAGAAGATATTTTTTAGTGTCACACTTGACGAGTGGACTTCTTCTCGTAACCTGCGTTACGAGAAGAAGTCCACTTCTTTTCGTAACACTCTTCCACCATCCACCTTCCACCATCCACCTTCCACCATCCACAAAAAAAATAATCATAAGAGTATTTCTGTTCATTCTAAAACGGAAATAAATAACTTTATTCTAACCTTAACTTTATTCTAACTTTATTCTAACCTAAGCCCGACGTCTTAATAATGAAACTTCTCCGGAATTCGATTCAACTTATTCTGAGTCTGATCCTAATATAGAATCTGAACTTGAACCTTATGAAAGGAAAAGTGAACCTTGGCGAAATTGCTAGAGCAAAAAATCCAGTAGTCACCTCACACAAGAACTTTAAAAAAAACCATCAATTCATTCAGCAATACGAAATGAAATGAAATTTTGGGATGAAAGTGAACTGCGTGGACCACTTTTGGAAAACATTTACAATAATCTGTTGTGTATTCCTCCAACGAGTGTTGAAGCTGAGAGAGCTTTTTCCGCCGCTGGAAAATTCTCGACAAAAATCAGGTCAAGTCTTAATGATACGACATTGGATAATTTGTGTATGCTAAGAAGCTTTTGAAAACCAGAATTGAAATATATATATATATATATATATATATATATATATATATATATATATATATAATATATATATATATATATATATATATATATATATATATATATATATATATATATATATACACACATATATATATATATATATATATATATATATATATATATATATATACACATATATATATATATATATATATATATATATATATATATATATATATATATATATATTATTTATTTTAAACATTAGATATAACATTTTATTTATTATATTTGTAAATTGAACAAGATAATACTAAGAGAACAATATATCTACAACATTTTTCAGATTTAAATATTTTTTAAAAGTTTTATTGTTATCCTGAGATCTATCTACTTATTACAGACCAGCTGATGGCAATATTACCAACTTTTCACAATAATTGAAACAAATTTTTATTAAAAATAACAACAACAAAAAAATTTATTATGTATAAGAAAGTATATTTTTTGTACATATTTTCTTATTTTTTGTTGTTATTTTCTTCGTAAATCGGCCAGGTGATATTTTCCATCTCCTTCCAGTTTTCTTTCATGAAAACCATCATTTCATTATTTTCAATGCTAAGGGTATTTCTTCTTTCAAATAGAACATTTCCAGCAGTTGAAAATACTCGTTCCGAGGTAGCTGATGATGCAGGGATGCACAAGATCTTCCTTGCTAGTCTGCTAAGATAACGAAATCTCGTAAGTTTGTTCTTCCAATATTGGAAAGCCAAACGTATGAGGATATTGAAAGACCAACCAACGGTTGGTCTTTCAAAGAAGATCGGCGTTGTTATTTGCAAACCCTTCATCAACATTACGTGCTATCTCGCATTTTGCATAAGTTAATGAACAATTTTTCTCAGTGTTTATATTTTTATTTTGCCGACATAGCTTTTTTACAGCACCAGTTGAAGCTTTTTCATTGGACGAGTTATCATTTTCGGATCTTTGATAAGAGTTTTCAATCCATGTAGGACTTTCACCCCACATCTTCTCGGCGCATATCAATCTGGCTTGAGTAGCGGTACCCTTGATATTTTCATAACTTTTCTCATCAAGCGCAAAAATGATTGATCCCTTTTATCATGGATCAAAAAAATGTGCCATTGAACACTCAGGTACTTTATGACTACAATCTGAAAAACGTTGTTGAAATCCTGCCATTAGAGCTTGATTTAATACTTACATGTGAGTGATCTCACATGTAAGAGAACTTAACTTTCCAATTTTAGCAAATCTTTTTTTAAGATTATAAATTTTTAGGGTTTCCAAGTTGATTGTTTGGTCTTTGTAAGAGCTTAAAACTTGTGAAATTTTATGTATCAATCAAAACATTCGATAATGCCTTTAATGAAGGTTGGATGTCCATTATTCAAGAATGGACATCCAAGTTTCAATTTTAGTTAACGTTTCTGCCGTAAAAGACAAGCATTTTTAGATCAG